TAAACGAGATAGATCGAAAATAACTTGCAAATGTGAGTTCTGTCATTTTCGATAGTCTTTCTTGGCTGATATTGTCAATTACAAAACATTTTCGTTGCTGTTAAAATAAAAAAAGTTTTATATTTCAGTATTAAGTCGTTCATTTACTTATATCTATTATATTTCAAAATAACTGTGGCAGCATATGTGGACGCATTTCGATACTAAGTAAAGAATTATTTTCAATGTATCTTGAATAGATCGAAGATAAAAAGAAAAAAAATATGTAATGATATCATCGTATAGTAAAAAAAAACAATAGTTCGCTAGTTATAAACAGCCTATATGTATACTAAACGAAGAACGAAAAACATTCAATGGTCGTGTTGTATGTATCACTATGTAACAGTGCCGACGTAATTGCACAATATCAGTTGGTTCCGTCATAAAGATAGTCTATATAGAATTTACTTTTGCAGTTTTTCTGCAAAAGTAAATTCTGTCATTTTCGATAGTCTTTCTTAGCTGATATTGTCAGTTACAAAATATTTTCGCTGCTGTTAAAATAAAAAAGTCTTATATTTCAATAATAAGTCGTTCATTTACTTATATATATTATATTTCATATTTGACGTCGTAGAATAATCTAGAAAAAAAAACATCCGATATCGAATATATAAATAGAAACCAGTGCTCTCTATCCAAACAACAATTGATCCTTCACAATATTCAATCGTCGAGCAAACGTCAAAACAACATCGAAAATGAGTAGACAACGACGGCCACGAATGGCTGAAAATTACCTGGTCATCTGGGTCGATGGTGCTATTGACATGGCAAATGAAGATTGCCAGAATACACTCGCGCAATTGCGCGGCGTTGTTAATGAAGTTAATCCGTGCACCACCGCCGAACAATGTATTCAGAAACTCCAGAAAAACAATGAGGAGACATCATTTGTCATCTTCTCAGGTGCATTAGGACAACACCTAGTACCAGAAATTCATGGCATGCCAAAATTAGATGCCATATATATCTTTTGTAGCAACAAACAACGCCACCAAGAATGGGCTAAAAATTGGCCCAAAATAAAAGGTGTGCATACATCAATCAAGCACATCTTTGGAAAATTGGCACTAGCTGTCAAACAATGCAATCAAGATAAAGTAACAGTCAGTATTATCGGTGTCAATGAAGGAGGTTCTAGCGAAAATCTCAATCAGCTAGAGCCTTCCTTCATGTATACTCAAATATTCAAGGAAATACTCCTTGACATGGAACATGGTCAAAAAACCATTAAAGACTTGGTCACTTATTGCCTAGAACAATACGAAGGCAATACCACAGAACTCAAATTAATCAATGAATTTCAACGTAATTATCATCCAACATTGGCCTTATGGTGGTATACACGCCAATGCTTCACCTTCAAAATGCTCAATCGAGCATTAAGAGCATTGGATGGCGACATTATCATCCGAATGGGATTTTTCCTGTGTGATGTTCATCGACAAATTGAAGAATTACACAGCCAACAGGTCAGTCAGTATCATGGAAAGTCCTTTCTAGTTTATAGGGGTCAAGGATTATCGACAAATGACTTTGAAAAACTTGCAAAAAACAAAGGTGGTCTCATATCTTTCAACAGCTTTTTATCCACCAGTACAAAACGAGATGTTTCTCTCGGTTTCGCCAAAGATGCATTAGGAACAACCGATATGGTCGGCATCCTCTTTCAAATGACAGTAGATCCTACTGTCTCATCGACTCCTTTTGCCTCCATCCAGGAGGTGAGTTATTACAAGGACGAAGAGGAAATTCTCTTCTCCATGCACACCGTTTTTCGAATTGATGAAGTTCGAAAACTGGACAAGAAAAGTCCATTTTATCAAGTGGACCTTAAACTTACGTCGGATGATGACCAACAATTGCGTCAATTAACCGACCGTATACGAGAAGAAGTCGGCGGCACTGGATGGTATCGACTGGGTCAGTTGCTGCTCAAAATAAGTCAATTTGACAAGGCTGAAGAATTATATAAAGCACTACTAGAACAAGTATCCAACGACAGTGATAAAGCATATATCTATCACCAGCTTGGATGGGTGAAAGACGACCAAGGACAATACAAAGAAGCAGCTTCATTTTATGAAATGTCTCTCAAAATTAAACGAAAAACTCTACCAGAAGGTCATCCTTCATTGGCTCCTACATACGGCAACATCGGTTTGGTGTATAAGAACATGGGTGACTACTCGAAAGCACTTGAATTTTACGAAAAATCACATCAAATCTACGAAAAAGCTCTGCCTTCGAATCATCCCGATTTGGCTACTTCATACAACAACATCGGTCAAGTGTATAACAGCATGGGTGACTACTCGAAAGCACTTGAATTTTACGAAAAATCACATAAAATCTACGAAAAAGCTCTGCCTTCGAATCATCCCGATTTGGCTACTTCATAGAACAACATCGGTCAAGTGTATAATAACATGGGTGACTACTCGAAAGCACTTGAATTTTACGAAAAATCACTTAAAATAACAAAAAAAACTCTGCCTTCGAATCATCCTGAATTGGCTACTTCCTACAACGACATCGGTCTAGTGTATAACAACATGGGTGACTACTCGAAAGCACTTGAGTTTTACGAAAAATCACATAAAATAAGAGAAAAAGCTCTGCCTTCGAATCATCCCAATTTGGCTAGTTCCTACAACAACATCGGTGGAGTGTATGACAACATGGGTGACTATTCGAAAGCACTTGAATTTTACGAAAAATCACTTAAAATAAGAGAAAAAGCTCTGCCTTCGAATCATTCCGATTTGGCTACTTCCTACAACAACATCGGTCTAGTGTATAACAACATGGGTGACTACTCGAAAGCACTTGAATTTTACGAAAAATCACTTAAAATAAGAGAAAAAGCTCTACCTTCGAATCATCCCGATTTGGCTACTTCCTACAACAACATCGGTCTAGTGTATAACAACATGGGTGACTACTCGAAAGCACTTGAATTTTACGAAAAAGCACATCAAATAAAAGAAAAAGCTCTGCCTCAGAATCATCCCTCATTGGCTAATTCCTACAACAACATCGGTCTAGTGTATAACAACATGGGTGACTACTCGAAAGCACTTGAATTTTACGAAAAAGATCTCGAAATCGCGAAAAAAGCTCTGCCTCCGAATCATCCCGATTTGGCTACTTCCTACAACAATATCGGTGGAGTGTATGACAACATGGGTGACTATTCGAAAGCACTTGAATTTTACGAAAAATCACATAAAATAAGAGAAAAAGCTCTGCCTTCGAATCATCCCGATTTGGCTTATCCCTACAACAACATTGGTATGGCGTATTCCGGCAAGGGAGACTACTCGAAAGCACTCTCATTCTTAGAAAAGGCACTTATTATCTTCCAAAAATCACTTCCACCTAACCATCCTAATATTATAACGGTCACAAACTCAATTGACAATGTAAAAAAGAAAATGTAACTGTAATTTTTTCTTTTCGCTTGCTCAATAAATTCATTAACATTGATATTGATTTCGATTTTTCTCTGCTCATTTTGACTTACCCGCGCGCGCGACAAGGGAGAGATCCCTTGTCAATGTCATAGGTACCACAGGCGGACCACGCCGGACTGGTAGGGCAATGGCCGAAGGTATGCCGTATGAACGGTAGAGACCAACGACACATCGAGACATTCCCTAGCACTACACTGCTTCGCTATGGCAAAGTTTCTCTACCTATTGAATCAGACAATGTAGTTCTCTGACTCACACTAATAACACTCATAACTCAACTCATCTCATCTCAAAAGTACTCATACTCATACTCATAATAACTGATAGTATTTATTTTTTCTCAAAATAACTTATCTCAACTCAACTGAATATGTAAAAAAAATTTTTTTTCTTGCTTCTCAATATTGTATAGTATCGAAACTCATCTAAAAAAAAAGAAAAAAAAAAGTTTTATTAAATATATAATGAATTTATTATTTACCTCATATAGAATTTAATAATATAATTATCATTGTAAATAATATAATAGTAATAATAAATAATAATCCCGGGTATATAAATACATTGTGATGCATTATAATAACACAACTCGAGTGTATACTGTTTCATAATGATGTATTCATGTTTTTATATACCTTGAGATTAATTGACCGATGTTCAAAATTTTGATTGATTTTTTATCAATCATTCCACTTCTGTTTTAATTGATTTGATGATTTTTTTTCTCGTCTGACATACATCTATATCATGTCATCGTCGACGAAAAAAAATTTTCATGTTACATATATATAGGGTGTTGTCGTTCTCTTTCACATTGCTCGTCTTCAAATAAGAATACAAGACAAGAGAATTCATCAACTCGAGTAACTTAAAAAATAGGTGTGTTTTGTTTTTACAAAATGTGATCTTTATTTTAAGAATGTCTGAAATATATACATGTCTAAATTATATAGAATAAGATAGCGTTTGTCTCTCTACTGAACAATATAATTTTTATTGGACGTCTTCATTATCTTCAATATATATGTATTTGAGTAATTTCTGAGAAATTTTTGCGTAAACTTTTTTCACGTATAGTTTTTCGACTTTTCTTTAAAGAAATGTTAGTTGTGCAATAATTGAAATTTCTACACATTTAAGATTGATGAATTTCTTTCATTTCAAGTGATTTTCGATCGTTACTGAATTTTACTTTCATTGGAATATAGTGCTTCTCAGGATTTATCTAATTTTCGTCCAGAATGTATCAACTTGTACATAACAAACTATGAATGATGTGTATTCACTTATATTGTCATATTTATCGATATAGTAATGAATATATAAACAGCTATGAATTCATCTCAAAATAGTCTCTGAGGATATAGTATATCATATTTGTACTCTTTAAATTTTCAAGATTTATCGATGAAAACAAAATTCATCATTATAAACATTTTGAACAAACAATTGTAATGTAAAAGTAATATTATTTCTAGATTTTTATACGAAACTGTATATCAGACAAAGTATTAGTACAAAAAAGAGGCATTTTTCGTTTAGATATAATGAATGTTATTGCCTTTATATATTCCACTTTCTTAATTGAATTATTAATGAGTATTTTGACATTGTAGAAATGAAAGTGGTAACTGTTTTTAGTTACCTGACAAAGTACTCTCTATGAAGTAATGTCATTTAATGAGAATGAAATGAAGTATTTTCTAAGAGAGACAATAATGATAGCAGTAGAGCATCTAATGAATGTCTTCATGTATTTCTCATTATATTTCTCTTGTATAAAAATTATTCGACAGATACAACAATTTCATTTTGTTTTCAGTGTAGATATTTAAGTTTCTATAAAAAATTCAATGTTGGTTTTTTATTAGAAAATGATTAAACTATAGTTGCTTGAGAAATTATATATTTTGTTTTTATTCAGATCTCCCATCATACAGTTGTTGGTGTATTCTGTATTTCGATTATAGGTGTAGAGTGAGGCGTTACCAAGGGGGAAAAAGCGAGACTTCATCTACTTCAAAAAAATTTGAAGTACGGGTGAAGTACGGTGAAGTATCAGTGAAGTATCAATGAAGTACGAGTGAAGTATCAGTGAAGTACGAGTGAAGTATCAGTGAAGTATCAGTGAAGTATCAGTGAAGTACCAGTGAAGTACCGTGAAGTACGAGTGAAGTATCAGTGAAGTACGGATGAAGTACGAGTGAAGTACAATTGAAGTACAGTAAAGTATACTGAAGACAGTTCGAGTATGGTGACGCGTAAATTTTCTTTTACAATTGAATACTAATATAATTCCCTCGACTGAAGGGAGGGTCATATAAAAAAAAATAGTGTGTTTGCTTGTCGCAAGGTCAAAAAGACTTCAGGGTTAAAAAGAACATCCACAGTTGATTTTTGATAGATGCTCATAAAAGTAAATTGAGGTTGGAGAATCCGAATCTGAAGTCAGTTTCTCAAAATTTGGAATTGATTTATTTGGGTCAAGGGAAGGGTTTCTTGAGAAAATAAGGATATTTTATAAAGGTTCACGAAAGTAAATCGGGGTAGGGAAATCCGAATCTAAAGTCAGTTTTTCGAAATTTTGAATTGAGTTTTTAGGGTGAAGGGAAGGGTTTTTTGAGAAACTGAGGATATTTTATAAAGGTTGACGAAAGTAAATCGTGGTCGAGGAATCTGAATCTGAAGCCAGATTTTCGAAATTTTGAATTGATTCTTTAGGGTCAAGGAAAGGGTTTTTGGAGAAAGTAAGGATATTTTATAAAGGTTGACGAAAGTAAATCGGGGCCGGAGAATCCGAATCTGAAGTTAGTTTGTCAAAATTTTGAATTCGACTTTTTTGACGAAAGAAAGGATTTCTTGGGAAAATAATGGCTTTTTATAAGGCTTAACTGAAGATAATCGGGGTCACGGAATCGGAATCTGCAATCAGGTTCTAAAATATTTTCTACGTGATTTCCTGTTCAAGCAGACTCACTCTACTCACTGAGGTCAAACTTTACAAGAAATCGTTATTTTCTCAAACAACCTTTTGTTTAGTCAAAAAAATCTACTTCAAA